GTTGGAACACAGGATTCTTAGGGCAGGAAAAGTGCTCTATGTGCGGCCAGCACATGTGTGAAGGCCAAAGCAGCTGGACCCCACATGACCGGCTGTGTGGTTCGAGCCCCGGACGCGCAGGCTTGAAAATCCCACCGGGAACATGTGCGTGTGTATCCCAAATCCTGAGAGGAGAGTGGAAGAGAGGATTGTGGTGTGGCCATGGGATTCCTCACTTTCCCTCTCTCTGTCTCTCTCTGCTGAGAGCACACACCCTATAGTATAACTTAAAAGAAAAAAGTATTCTGTGTGATCCTACCGTGGTACATACAGGACACGATCCACTTGTCCAAACCCTTAGAACACGCACATCGAGGGGCCGGCAGGTGGCATGGTGGTTAAGGCGGTCGGAACTCCGACATGGCTGACCACAGTTCGAGTCCTGGACCTGGCAGCTTGCTTTCTCAATTTGCTTCTCTCTCTCTGTCTCTCTCTGTTTAACTTCAAAATAAAATAAAATAATGACAATGAATACAATTAAATAAAAATATATATATTTAAAAAACAAACAAACAAACACGCACACCGAGAGTGAGCCGGAACGGAAGCCGTGGACCGTGGGTGATGACCACGTCTTGGTGGTCATGACGAAGGTGCCATTGTACCAGGCGCTGGTAGTGAGGGAGGCCGCTCGGTGTGTGTGTGGACAGGGACTAGGCCGGAAATCTCTGTACTTTCTGCTCTTTTTTTTTATTTTATAATTTGGCTATTTCTAGATATCCTTTTTTTTTATATAGAATTATTTTGACTTTATTTATTTATTTCAATTTTACTAGAGAGAGAATGAGAGAGAAGGAGAAGGAAAGTGAGAAAGCAAGCTGCCAGGTCCGGGACGCGAACCGTGGTCAGCCAGGTGGGAGTCCAGTGCTTTTAACCACCACCCACTCCACCTGCCAGCCCCTTTCTGCTCAATTTTGCTGTAAACCTAAAACTGCTCTAAAAAATAAAGTCTAAACTGAAAGGGTAGACCTGAGTGGTTAACCTGGGTCTTCGTAAGGCGTCAGAGGTTGCATTAACGTAATCACATAATTCTCAAGTGGGTTGAGAGCAATTACGGGCCCTTTCTTTTTTCTTTTTTAAAGAGAGAAATTTTCGCTATAGGTCACATGCATTCACCAGAGAAACAGACAAGACAAAAAGTGACAAATTACCCCCCCGGGAGGATGACACCATGCCACAATCCCTTCTCTTCCATTCTCCTCTTGGGATCTTGGGCACACATACACATGCACACACGCCTGGGATGAATTTTCAGCCACCAGGTCCAGGACTCGAACCGCAGTTCGACTACGTGGGAGCCCCACGACATAACCATGACCCCATCTGCTGGCCCCCAGATAGGTACTTTCAACAAGGTCTCCCCACAGCCTCCTAGGTCGAGAGACCGCAGGAGGGCACTGCCAGGCCTCACCCGTTCTTGTTGAGCGGGGAGCTGAACCTGGGGCTCCCATGTGGCCTGGGCCGCACAGCACGGCCTCCTGTTGGGGCCACTGTGGCTGGGCGTGGGCTCGTGTGGGTCAGTCCCCTCCACTGTTAGCACTGACTTCATGAAGTGCAAGGCAGCCCCTGGCGTGGTGGTTAAGGCGCCTGGACTTCCACATGGCCAGCCAAATGGTTCGAGTTCCAGGCCTGGCGGCTTGCTTTCTCACTCCCTCCCCGCTTCCTCACTCTGTCCCTCTCTGGTCAGATTAAAATAAATCAATAGTTAAAATAATTCTTTGGAAAAATAAAGTGATCCTACCACAGCCTACCACTAGATGGCAGCGTGATCCCAGTTTCACATCAAGCGTCGGCTAGTGCTGGCATCCCCAATGGCTGTTCTACATTCACAGTACGGGGCAGCCACCTCCCACCGGAGGCGGCAACCACAGAAGGCCCGCTGCTGGCTTTAACCTCTCTCTTTCTCTCTCTCTCTCTTTTTCTTTTTTGGAGAGGTTTTTGCTATAGGGCACATGCGCTCACCAGACAGACAGAGACAGAGAGACAGAAAGAGAGAAAGCACCCCCCAGGGGGGATTGCCACGCTGCAATCCCTTCTCTTCCATTCTCTTCTTGGGATCTTGGGCATGCACGCACA